TGGTTCCCCCCATTTTTTTTTGAAATTTTATTGGCTTGTGAAATTCAGAGATCCAGCAGCCACTGTTGTAAAAGTCTAGCATAAATTATTTATTTTTTATTTTTTAAAAAAGATTTATTTAATTATTAGAGAGAGAGAGAACACAAGCAGGGGGAGCGGCAGGCAGATGGAGAGGGTAAAGCAGACTCCCTGCTGAGCAGAGAGCCTGATAGGGGGCTCAATCCCAGGACCCTAGGATCATGACCTGAGCCGAAGGTAGATACTTAACCGACTCAGCCACCCAGGCGCCCCTATCTTATTATTTTTGACTACAGGTTAATTTTTTTAGTTTGAACAGGTTTCACAGAATGATTGCCAACAAAATACTAGGTACTGACAGCGTGCTTTTGTTTGGATTTGTATTTTTTGCTTCTACTTTGTCTCTTGTTACTTTGCCTTAACAAATCCCATGGAATTAAGTTTACTGTGTTACTAATCAGGTACCACTTAAAAAAGAATGGTAAAAAAAAATATGGCTGTTGGTCATTCTTTATATATTTGGGATACTTTGAGCAACACTAGAAGGCTCTTTTAACCAAAAATGTCTCTTTTTTAGCTTGTCCTGGTGTCTGAAATTTTTATCTTTCAGCCATTCTTTGTATTTGGGACACTGACAGTTAGAAGCTCCATGAAGGCAGGTATTGCATCTGTCTTTTTTATTGCTATAACTATAGCATTCATTCCACTTCTTGGCACATAAATAGGTGTTCCGTAAATATTTATTCAATTAATAAATGAAAGCAAATGTTATTTGCGACGTTGAAACATTATTGGTCATAGTTAAGCCCATGATGTGCTAATTTATTTAATAGAAGAAGAGAAGAGCTTATAGAACACATGACTTTTTTTTTTTTAAGATTTTTATTTATTTGACAGAGAGAGAGAGAGAGAGAGAGAGCAGAAGAGCACAGGCAGGGGGAGCACAAGAGGGAGAAGGAGAAGCCACCCAGGCACCTCAGAACACATGACTTTTGTTCAGAGTGAGCAGGCCACTAAAATTTTTTGTTTGCAAAGAAGAATAGGAACAGCAGACCAAACAGAAAAGTGTAGAAAACCATTTTGGCTTACTTCATTATATATCTTAGAATGGTTCTGTTAAGAAGTTGCATAGGAGGGGTGCCTGGGTGGCTCAGTCTTAAGCATCTGCCTTCAGCTCAGGTCATGATCCCAGGTTCCTGGGATCGAGCCCCTTGTTGAGCCCCTTGTTGGGCTCCCTGCTCATCGGGGAGCCTGCTTCTCCCTCTGCTGCTCCCCCTGCTTGTGTGCACTCTCTTTCTCTCTGACAGATAAAATAAACAAAACCTTAAAAAAAAAAGAAGTTGCATAGGAAAAGCAGGACTGAGGAGGGGTGTGTATGTGTGTATGTTTAATATCTCTATAGTTTTGTCACCATGAGAGTAAACTTCCTTGTAAAATTGTTTAACTCAAGTAGGATAGATACAGAAGTGTTATTAAGTTCCATTACAGTAAATATAGCCCATTATTTATTGTTTGTTTCCTAAGGAAATGACTTGAGTATTGATCCTTTGGGAACCTACTTTTAGTATCTTTTCCAAAGAAGTAAATGTCCATTTATCCCTCTCAGGGCAAGATCACACAGCTATTAGTTTTGCTAGGATTTAACAATACTTCGGTTTTTCTACTCATCAGTGTGCCTTCAAATCCAGTGGTATTTGAAACACAAAGCATATTTTGTTCGTCATCTTCATGTGTTAAGGATACCATTTTGCTAAGTATCAGCCTCTCTGGAAGAACTCAAATTCATTTTTTACTTGATACTTTATAGACCAACAGTTATGCAACCATAATAAACATATATGCTCAGTTGTCTTATTCAAAGATAATTAAGAAACTTGGAGTTTAGCTTTTACCTTAGGATCCTTTTAAGGAAATTTGTCCTTTTAATAGAAGGACTGCTAAAAGACCTTGATTTAAGTGCTTAAAAATTTGGTGGCAGTAGAGTGGCTAAATTGGGAGATAATATATTCTTTGCTTTTACCCATTATTCAGTTTGTTTTGTCAACTTCCTTGGAAATATTTAGAGCAATACTTATTTTAATACAAAGTTTATTCAGCAGCTAAAAATTTACATTGAAAATCTGAACTATTTTTCCTTGAGTTAATGAGTTTATGTAATATATATTTTTTGGAATTGTTCTTAAATTTAAGTTTTTAAAATAAACTACATTGTTTGCTAAAATCGGAACTTTTTTGTACTTTGGCATTTTATAGGTGGACTGTTCATTATAAACTTGACTTGTTTCTGTTTATAGTCCTAAATATATGCAGAGGGATATCCAAGTCAGTAGATGTTTAATCTCAATGGATATCAGGGAAAAACAAATTAGGAGAAATAAAGGTATACTATTTCATACCTATCATATTGCCAAAGAATTAAAAATTTTGACAGTATCGAATATTGGTAAGAATGAGGGGAAATGGGAATTTTTAACCATTGCCGATGTTGGAGAAATATAATTTAAACCAAAACCTCCATTTCAGAAAAACCTCTCTTCAGAGGCAGAAGAGAACGAAAATAAGCATTGAGCCACAGTGTGAAGCACATCACAGTCAATCTGCTAAGATATTTCAGAGATCTAAAGAGAGCTCACCCTTTATATGGCCAGATACAACCCATTACATACATGTTCTCAAGATAAATTGTAAGTAGTGCTCAAGTCAGAGGGCTTGATAGCAACATTTCTCACATATAGTTCATTCTAAATCAGTTGGTAATTGGGGTGACCATATGTATTTGTAACTGGCTAAAAATAAACTTGTATTCTTATGATAGGAAGGTAATTTTGCAACTGGGAGCTAGGTGGCCAGCTAGGCTATTAGGTTCCTGTCTTCCCACAAAACTGGCAGAAAGATAGCAGAAAGCAGAAAGTGCTATTTCCTTTGGTGCAAATCACATTTCAAAGAGTCCTGAGTTGCTGGTTAGAAGCTTGCTTGCTTACTGACTTACTTATTTATTATTTAAAGTAAGCTGTATTTAAAGTGAGCTGTACACCCAGCATGGGGCCTGAACTCAGAGTCGCCTGATCTACTGAGCCAGCTGGGGTCCCTAGAAGCTTATTTAGCTTTTAAAAAGATTTACATATATTTCAAAGGGATAGAGAAAGAATTTACAATTACAAGTTTTCTAAAGAACGTGCTCTAAGAAAAATGTGGGGGGTATCTCTTCCTTTCTTTCTTATTTTATTACGTAGGCTTCATGCTCAATGTGGAGCTCAAACTTACAACCCTGAGATCCAGAGCCTCATGTTCCACTGAGTCAGCCAGGTGCCCCATTCTTCCCTTATTTTTAACAAGAAAAATTAAACTTCTCATTTTTTATGCCTTTATACTGATGGGTAAATTGATCTGGCCACTTTAGTGGGCAATTTGCAGTGTTCTGGTAGAGTTGAAGATATGCATACTCTATGATCCAGTACTTTTATTTGTAGTTAAATCCCAGCAAAACTCTTAAAAAAAAAAAGATTTATTTATTCATTTGAGAGGGTGGGGGAGTGGAAGCGAGTGAGTGTGATGGGGAGGGGCAGAAAGAGCAGGAGAGTGAGAATCCTGAGCAGACTCCCCACTGAGCATGGAGCCTGACACAGGCTCCATCCTGTGACCCTGAGATCATGACCTGAGTGGAAATCAAGAGTTAGTCGATGAACCGACTGAGCCAGCCAGGCGGCCCCCAGAAAAACTCTTAATACATGATGATAAGAGACTTGTAACATTGCGTATTAACAGTGAAACAGTGGAAACAACCAAGTGTCTGTGACGAGAATGAATAGATAAATTTTGGTATATTCACACAGTATAATACAGTATTGAAAGTCAGTGAACTAGAGCTACAAAATCAACATGAGTACCTGTTATCAATAATGTGTATTAAATCAAATTATGGAAGAACATGCACAGTATATTTATATAATATTTAAAAACATGCAGAATAATACCTATGCAGAACAATACATATTTTATGGATTATATACATTAGTAAAAGTATAATGTAAAATGAAAAAGCATGATCATCTGCTGGGAGTGAGAGGGGGATGAGGCTTTAAGGTAAAATGAGAAGCTATATGAAGTAATTATCTTAAGGCTGGGAGAGCAAATTCACTAGGTTAATGTGGTATGATTTCTGAGCTTTGCTAAGGGTCTGCAATTTATGGGTATAATTTTAAAGTTCATGTGGTTGTGTTTGTCTTCTCATTCATCTGTACAAGTGAAGGTACTGTGTTAAGTGGAAAGTTGGTTTTAACTATGATTTGACTGTGATGGAGGAGAGGAGCAAGAATGAGGGTATAGGTAAGGAAATGATGATAGTGATGGAACATCAAGTCTCAGGCTGGGTAAGAGGGGAAGAAGAAAGGAGAGGAAGGATAGTGGGAAAAGTAACTCCAAGTCTGTTGGCAATCAGCAGATTTCTAGAAGTGAACTGGAAAGATAGGCAGTGAGGAGAGTGGGATGCTTGAAATTGAGATTTTTGACATGGCATAGTCACTGGTTATCAATGTGATCACCAGAGTAGGGGCTGGAGTGGATAGAAGAAAAGGTTTTGGGTTTGGGAGTGATCACTCCATGGATGTGATTTTAGTGATTAAGGCAAGTTTTGGTGCTCTGTATACAATCACTCAGGTATTTTCTTTTCATATGCCAAGAGTCTTTTGTTCTTGTTTTATTTTGTTTAAACAGTGCCTCAAATTATAGAATTGTATTGTTGTTCTGGAATGAAGATGGTTGTAAATAAGTAAATGGATAAAAGCAAATTTTGTATAATCAGTATATGGCCTTTTCTATGGCTTGCTTAGTAGTTGGTTAAGTTTCAAACATTAACATCCAAACTAATGATCCCACTGCCCATTAAGCTATTTTAGTCCCAGATAGGTTCAATAAGGACTTTGTATGGTTGTATGTAGTACATTTCTCTGCTAACTCCAATTTCCCTCTTTCTCTTTTTATAGGACCGCAGCTGAATGCACAGCTAGAAGGTTGGCTCTCACAAGTACAGTCTACAAAAAGACCTGCTAGAGCCATTATTGCACCGTAAGTTTTAAGGGTCTTTACCCAGAATGTTTCATATATTAATTATTAATATAGAATAGTATCTACAGATGGAGCTAAAAAATTAAAAAATAAATGCTATGTTGAGCTGAAGAAATTATATTTAGTCATTTTCATGATTCCTTTGGCTTTCACTTTAACTCAAGGTTAAAGGAATTGGCTTTTTTCTCAGGTGCAGTAATTTAAAAATTTTTTTTTTTATTTGAGAGAGTGCATGTGAGAGAGCACGAGAGGGAAGAGGGTCAGAGGGAGAAGCAGACTCCCTGCCGAGCAGGGAGCCCGATGCGGGACTCGATCCCGGGACTCCAGGATCATGACCTGAGCCGAAGGCAGTCGCTTAACCAACTGAGCCACCCAGGCGCCCCAGTAATTTTAAAATTTATTTTTTGGTAATAAAACTGACTTTTAAAGCAGAGGCTGATTTGTAGTGCATAAACTTGATGATTTCAGGTTGATGTAAATGAGTAAGTTCTGTTTTAAATATGAAAAAGATCTACTTTAATTCGCTTTTTCCTTATAATGAAAAAGATGTGTTAAACAATACCATGCGATATGGAGTAGCTAACCAGATAGTTGGGGAATGGGTAGCTTTTTTTTTTTCTTTTTAATGAAGAAAATCTGTGATTGTTTTGTCTTTGAATCTTAGAAGGCTTTCTAGAACTACAAGCTAACAAATACAGTTAGGAGTGTGTCTGTATGTGATAGGAATTCAGTTCGTTTTGATTTGGTTTCCAGTGCTAACTTTCAAAACACATTTTTTTAAGCACATGTTAACTGTTTTCCGAGAAGAGTAAAGGTTGGAGTTTGTCCCATTTTTTTCACAGCAGTCTCTTTTATGTAACTTCTGTTGAGTTAGGTTTGGTGCCCCGATAAATAAAAAATAGTGAAATAATGGCATCTACTTATTGAAGAATATGAGAATTAAATAAGTAAGTACACACAAAGAGCCTACATTAATGTCTGGCACATAATAAGTATTCCATAAGTGCTAGGTATTTAATGTGCCAAACATTTTGTTAAGTGGTCCATTTGTATGATCTAACTTGATCTCATTTAATAGATAGGAGGTTGTCTGTACCACTTATAAGGTATGTGACATACAGGTTACTTAATCTCTTATGCCTTTGTCTCATTGGTAAAATTGGAATATTAATAGTACCTCCACATAGTTTTTTGATGATTAAATGAGTTAATCTTTATAAACTTTTAGCATAATAACTTAAGCTATTATTTATTTAGTCATTCAGCAAATATGTACCTGGCTAAATGCCAGGTGTTCTTCTTAGTGCTGCTTTTTGTTTCATTAAGGTTTTTTGGGGGAGATTTTATCTGTTCTTTTGTTTGGGACATATTCCTCTTTTCTCAGTTTGCTTGACTCTCTGTTTGTTTCTATGTATGAGTCTTCAAAGAGTGGCCTCCTGGAGGAGATGAACCTTATCTTTCAACGTTGCCCTAGCTCTTGGTTGTCTCTGAAACCTTTGTGATTGTCTAAGCATCCTGATTTATTCTTGATAAGTCCTAGTTGTTGAGAGTGTGCCAAGACTTGTCAGTGTTCTAAAGGGGGTGGATCTCAGGCAACCCCTAGTTATAGGCTGATTGGAAGCCAGACCCTCAGGCAGCAGGTTTTAAAATATGTAGTCCTGTGGGACAGTAGTTGTAAACCCAGTTGGTCTTCAGACCAGGTGATCTAAAGGTGTCCTCTGGGCGACTGGCAAAAATCAGGGCTTTAGATGAGTGTATAAGCTCCTTTCTGGGAGGTACTGGCGAAATGTAGTGAGGCTTAGAGAGAGTGTAAAGATGGTGTCCCCTGGCCTACTTTGCCTGAAAGAATCTCCACAGCCTCCAGATGTGTGGCAAATGTGAAGTGTGGCCCTCAGGCTGAAGCTCTGGGACAAGTAAATAGGTCTGTTTCACAGAAAGACTAGGGATGTGTTTCAAACTGCTGTCTGTGTGGTGCCCTGGAGGCAATAGCCTGCTAAGAACTGTCTCTCTCCAATTGTTACAGCCCTTTTGGACCCAGGAATGCAGGCCCCCCTGGCCACCAGAGCAGGTGATCAAGGAGTGTCCCCTGTGTAGACTACATGTGCCTGCCAGCGTTAGCAGGGCCACAGGAGAGCTCATGGCTGGTGCAGACATAGTTTTCACACGGCCATAGGCTGGGCTGCCCTGTTGGTGCTATCAGGGCAGAGGGAGAGCACCATAAAGTCCCTGCCAGTGCCTCCGTCCCTGGAAAGTCCCAAGAGGCCCCTGCCTCTCTGATAGATGTTTTAAGATTAGCCAGTGAAACTCCTTCACATGTAGTCTCGGCACTTTTCAAATTGCTGCTTTTGTGCTGGTTTCCAAGGCGACTGAGTCTGCGTGTGAGCCCTTTAAGAGAAGTATCTCAGTTTCCTACAGCCCTTTGGGTCTCCTGGATGTGAACCCTGTTGGTGTTCAAAGTCAGATGTTTTGGGGGTGCATCTCTCTGTTACAGTTCCCAAGGATTGGGGTACCTGATGTGGGGCATGAACCCTTCACTCCTCAGGGAGAAACTTGGGATTCGTGAGATTCCTCCTGATTGTGGGTCCCCTGTGCCAGGGGTGGGACTGCATCCTGCCTCTCCTTCCCATCTTGATGTGGCCCTTTTACCATTTGTTGCAAAGGAGCTATTCAGCTAGTTTTCATTCTTTTCCAGAGGGAATTGTTCGATATGTAGCAGTAGATTTGGTGTGTCCATGGGATGTGAGTTTAGGATCTTCCTCTGCTGCCATCTTGGACTACGCACTAGTGCTGCATTTCGAATAAACTACACTCGCTACTTTCATGGTGCTTACATTTTAGTACTTGGGAAAACAGACAGTAAACAAATAGTTACAGGCATACATCAAAGATATTGTGGATTTGGTTCCAGACCACTGCAATTAAATGAATATTGCAATAAAATGAGTCAAATGAATTTGTTTCCCAGTATGTAAAAGTTATGTTTATACTATAATGTATTCTATTAAGTGTACAATAGCATTATGTCTAAGAAAACGGTGTACATACCTTAATTAGAAAATACTTATTGGTAAAAAATGCTAACCATTCAGTGAGTTATAATCACTGATCACAGATAGCCATAACAAATATAATAATAATAAAGTTTGGAATATTGCAAGAATTACCAAAATGTGACATAGAGACATGAAGTGAGCAAATGTTGTTGGAAAAATGGCACCAATGAACTTGTTTGATTCAAGGTTGCCACAAACCTTCACAGTTTTTGTTTTTTTTTTAAAGATTTTACTTATTTATTTGACAGAAAGAGACACAGTGAGAGAGGGAACACAAGCAGGGGGAGTGGGAGAGGGAGAAGCAGGCTTCCTGCGGAGCAGGGAGCCCGATGTGGGGCTCGATCCCAGGACCCTGGGACCATGACCTGAGCCGAAGGCAGACGCTTAACAACTGAGCCACCCAGGCGCCCAAACCTACACAATTTATAAAAAAACAAAAACAAACAAAAAAAACCAATGCCATATCTGTGAAGTACAATACAGCAAAGCACAATAAAACGAGGTATTCCTGTTTATTCTTTATCAGGTGGTAATGGATGCTAAGAATAATGAAGCTGATAGGGGGACTGAGAGTGACAGGATGGGTAGGGAGGTGCTAGTTTATATAGGATTAGTAAGAAAAGGTCTCCCTGATAAGGTAACATTTGAGCCTAAATAATGCAAGAGAGAGGTTATGCAGATATCCGGGGAAAGGGTTTTCCGGTTGAGGAACAGCAAGCACAAAGGCTCTGCAGCAGGATATGCTTAGTGTATTTGAGGAAAAGCAAGGACAGTGTAGCTGGAGCGACGTGTACAAGGGGAAGAGTAGTGGATGAGGTCGGCAGCGAGAGCTAGATCATGAGGAGGCTTGGTAGACTATTCCAACAACTTTGGTTTTTATTCCAAGTGATATGGCAAGTCATGAGAAATTTTGAGCAGAAAGGTGACATGACTTGACTTAGGTTTGAAAAGAATTGTTCTTGCTATTATATGGATGGTCTGTTTTGTGGAAACCGGGAATCTAGTTTAGGAGGCTTACTATAATAGTACAAGAAAGAGATGACATAGTGGCTTTGATTGGGGGCTAGTTGCAGAGGTGATGAGAAGCAGTGTACTCGGGATATATTTCAAAGGTAGGACTAGTAAAGTAGAAGAGTCAGGAATGACTCTTGAGTTTTGGCCTGTGAAACTGGAAAGACGGAATTGGTTTTATACTGATAAGGGACAGACGGGTAGAGGTGGGAAGTAGACTTTAAGGTGTTTATGTAGAATCTAGGATTGTATTTTGACCATGTTAAATGTTGAGATGCCTATTAGGTATCTGTAAGTGGAGATTTCAAATGGGCAGCTAGATGTATGAGTCTGGAGTACAGAGAAGAAGGGCCAGGCTGTGTTGATATATATATATCACATTTAAAGTCTAAACAGGCTTTGGTTGTCTAGTGAGGAAAATATAGAGAAGAGAAGAGGTTTAAAGACTTAAGCCCTTCGGCAAGCTAATTTTATTTATTTATTTAAAAACAATTTTTTTTAAAGATTTTATTTATTTATTTGACAGAGAGAGACACAGCAAGAGAGGGAACACAAGCAGGGGGAGTGGGAGAAGCAGGCTTCCCACTGAGCTGGGAGCCTGATGTAGGGCTCGATCCCAGGACCCTGGGATAGGCAGATGCTTAACGACTGAGCCACCCAGGTGCCCCTAAGCTAATTTTATTTAGAGATCAGGGTGAAGATGAGCATTTGCAAAGGAGGTGCTGAAGGAGGACCAGTGGGGCAGGAGGAAAACCAAGAGTGAGTGGTGTCTGTAGGAGGCAGAAGGATGAAAAATGTGTCAGGGAGGAGAAAATTAATTAGCTGTGTCAAATTCTGCCAATAGGTCAAATAAGATGAGGACTGAGAATTGAAGATTGGATTTGGCAATATGGAGATCAGTGGTGGCCTTGCTACAAACAATTTCTGTGGAGATGA